AAAAAAAAAAAAAAAAAAAATGGGTATTTATTTATGCCCCTACATTACGGTGGTGCGCAGGGCAGCTTGTTATGCAAGTAGGTTTATAAATTAAGTAGGGTCCCCTTTAGGGTTCCTCAAAGGGGTCTATAAGGGTTTTATATAGGGTTTCTATAATGGCAGTTCTCTGGATCAGGGTCCCTTGTTAGGTCCCCAAGATAGTACGGCACTCTTAATACAAAGGACTCTTTAAACGGGACCCTGATTCAGAGAACTATCCACAAAGAAGCCCAAAACAAGCACCAACACTATTCCACCCCTCATTCTATTTATAGGGTTGCTTCAAGATAGGCTCTGAGGCTTCAGGGTTTAGGGTTTAGGTTTTGGGATTTAGGGTTTAGGGTTTAGGGTTCAGGGTTTAGGGTTTAGGTTTTGGGGTTTAGGGTTGTAAGGGTTCAGGGTCGAGCGGGCTTGGCTTTAAGTTTTAGGGCTCAGGGCGTTCATGAAGTCCTGTGTAAACCCTCTTCTGGAAGCGCGCTCATATTTCGAACCCGGCGATGAACGGTCTTAAGGTAGGTGGTCTAGCACCCTTTATCATTTACCAGAGTTGTTATGTTAATCATTGCCATTTCCTGGCTGTTACTTTTTACGCTGGCGACGATGATGATGGTGATGGCTATCATGATGATTTCAGCTATGGTTGTACTTGCTGTCTGTTACTCGTCTCGTTATGAATGGCAGACGCCGTTGGTGATTTCAGGATTGCGGGGTTGTTGCAGTTTGTTGACAAAGAATCCCTTAGTGGCTGAGTAGGTAACCTTTAACCTTTTGGGGCTGTTATAATTCTACTATAATTCCCTAAACCCTAAACCCTGAACCCTCAACCCTAAACCCTAAATCCTATTTGGGCTAGGGTACTCGGGCCCTAAGACAAAGAATCCTCGTGAAGACCAAGTGCTAAGCAGTGTGGAGGCTTCACATTTTTCTGCTTGTGGTTCCAGTGCCTACAGGTTGGGGCATTAGGGTTCAGGCGATTCAGGGCGTAGGGCGGAAGTCTCATGTAGAATAGGGCGAATAGGTTGACGGCATCCAGTGGTTTGCGATTCGCAGCCAGGTTGTTTGGGAGAAGCCCTTGTGACAGACTTAAGTTTGAGGTGCTGCCTTCGGGTGTGCTTCGCAATTCCTTGCCTTACTCGATCCGTCACAAGCTAGGCAAAGTCCCAAACCGCAAGCCCTAAACCCTAAACCCTAAGCCCCCTGAACCCAAAACCCTAAACCCTAAGCCCCCTGAACCCCAAACCCTAAACCCCCTGAACTTGCCCTCAACCCTTTTTTGAACTCCCTAAACCCTAAACCCTAAACCCTAAACCCTAAACCCTAAACCCTAAACCCTCAACCCTTTTTTGAACTCCCATCCGCTGCTCCCTCAGGGAATCAAGGCCTCTGCGCGGGAAGGGCGCGTCTGACCTGTTTGCCTTCGGGCTCAATGCACGGTTTTGGGTTTAGGGTTTAGGGTTTAGGGTTTAGGGTTTAGGGTTTAGGGGCCCTAAAGTCTCGACCCTGAATCTTAATGGGATTTAGAGTCTAGGATTTTGGGTTCAGGGTTTAGGGTTTAGAGTTTTAGGGTTTAGGGTCTTAGGGCTTTGAGTCTAGGATTTTGGGTTCAGGGTTTAGGGTTTTAGGGCTTAGGGTTTAGGGTTTAGGGTTTTAGGGCTTAGGATTTAGAGTTTAGGGTTTGGGTTCAGGGTTTAGGATTTAGGGTTTAGAGTTTATTTGAGTTGAGTGGGTATGCGACTCCAGCAGCGATCGTCACACTGGGGTGTTTCTGACTGTCTGAGGCATCTGTTCGTGGAAGTAAGATTGGCAGAGACTGACGTTGTGGCTCGGTGGCTTAACGTAGCCAGCATTTCTCATCATTCGGAGGCATGTCAACAATGCACCCTAAACCCTAACCTAAACCCTAAGCCCTAAAGCCTCAAACCCCAAACCCTGGGCCCTAAAACTCTAAACCCTAAGCCCTAAAACCTTTAAGCCTAAGCCCTAAAACCCTGAATCCTAAACACTAAAACCCTAAACCCTAAGCCCTAAAACCCTAGACCCTAAAACCCTAATGAGGCATAGCCACTATACACCCAGGAGAAATCTCTCCGGTCATCTCGGGCGGAAGCATCTCAGAGCCCATGGATTCGCATCCCCCAAACTTTAGCGGTTTAGGGTTTAGGGTTTAGGAGTTTAGGGTTTAGGGTTTTAGGGTCTTAAACGAAACCCCAAATACAAAATCCCATCCCTCGCCTACATCTAACCTAAACCCTAAACCAACACATACACTCCGCCGCCTACTCTTCAAGCCTAAATCATCACCAGCACTATTCCTTAGGGTTCCTTATAAGTACAAACAGAGCATAAAGGAGCCGCCAAACCCTACTCTACTTATTAAGGCGGCCCCTACATTACATCTAGGTTTTGGGTTATATTATATCATGATTATGAGAAGGAGCCTCCAAAATAGGATAAGTAATTCCTAAGTAAGGCTCTACATTACGGCATCCGCCCTAAACCCTAAACCCTAAACCCTAAACCCTAATTTGGGGAGTTTGCTCCTGGAGCTTCGGAGCTCCTAACTCCGGGGAAACTGCCCTCGGCGAGTTTCAAAGACCAGCCATTATTGTTCTTCTCCATGAGGGGTGCAGCCCAGACCGACGGCCCAGCCTACAGCGGGCAAGGTTATGTGGGCCACGGGGGGCCCGACACCGTGGCTGCCCTTAATCTGGGCCTGGCCTCCCTCCAAGGTCAGCCAGCAGGGCCACCGCCACCACCGGGGCCGGCCCCGGGGCCTGGGCCGGGAGTGACCAGTTCGGCTGCAAGCTCCTCGTCGAGGCAAGAAGCTCTGGCGAACTTTTTGCAATCGATGGGGACGATGATCCGTGCGATGGACGACGGGCCGGGGCCAAGTGGTCCGCCCGAGCTCCCGTCCGTTGCCCTAGGACTTCCGATCGGCATCATGTTCTGGGGTGTAACGACTCGTGGCATTGCCTCAAAAACTTCAGTCTTCACCATACAAGCTCTTCAAGGACAGTCTTCCACGGCGCATGGCCGGTCGACTTGATGAGTATGCGGCTGGAGGGATTGCCTCTGGCCGCATACTGTTGCAAAGACCCTCAATCGGACAAGGCTTCAGCCCAGCGACTTTGCCCGAAGTTCGTGCCGCAGACGTGGCAGGGCAACGGATGCCTGCTGATGGCTTTGTTCATTGCCATATTTTCTTACTATGGTTATTATTGTCGTTAATCTTATTATTGTTATTATTATTATTAGTAGTAGTCGTCGTGGTTGTCGTTGTCATCGTCGTCGTAGCCGTAGTATGCTGCCATAATCTAAAACATGATTACGGCTTTTCTTCTTGCTATCATTATGACGATGGCTTTAGGATTTAGGGCTTCCAGGGTTTAGGGTTCTACAGGGTTTAGGGTTTAGGGGTAGGGTTTAGCTTGTCAGGCTCTTCAGACCCTGATCGCACGACGAGCCTTCCCTGCGCACACTATACTGGGTTCATTGTAACAGGGTTTTAGGGTTCGGGGTTTAGGATTCGATTGGGGTTCGTGTGTGGCACAAGTCGCTATGAACCCTAAACCCTAAACCCTAAACCGTGTTCATCAACTCGTCGAAACTCGACGGATTTGTAATCTGACTCTTACATCACAACGAAGCCTACCAGCTCTAGCATCCTGAACCTAAGCCCTCATATCAAATCTAAGCCCTGGACCCAACACCCCTCAGCCCTAAACCCTACGACCCTAAGCCCTAAACCCTTTTAAACCCTAAACCTCCCAAAACCCTAAAACCCTCAGCCCTAAACCCTTGAGCCCTAAACCTCCCTCAACCCTAAAACCCTCAGCCCGAAACCCTTAAACCCTCAGCCTCTCTCTACTAACTGCCAAGCCTCAAGCCTAGGTTTAGGGTTTAGGGTTTAGGGTTTAGGGTTTAGGGTTTAGGGTTTAGGCCCAAAAAAAAATCACCAAACTCAGCCAGGGCAGCCTTCCCCCTGCTTTTGACCCTGGCCCTGGAGGTGGGCTTACGACTTTGCTTAGCTTTGGATTTAGGGTTGAGGTTTAGGGTTTAGGGTTTAGCAATCAGGGTTGAGGGCTTAGGGTTTAGGATTTTAGGGTTTAGGGTTGAGGGTTTAGGGTTTAGGGTTCAGGGTTTAGTGTAAAACGTGCCGCCACAGGCAGAAGCTTTCGTCGATCTTATTGCGGATAGTTGTTGATAATATAGGGGGCCTAAATAATTACCTATACTGTCTTGGGGGGTTCCTGATTCTAACTATGGTATAGTGGGCTCCAAAAATCCGATTCAAAAAATAAGGCCCTAAACCCTAAACCCTAAACCCGCCTAAACCCTAAACCCTAAACCGTTTAGTGAGAGCAGTTTGGGCCCAATTGGCAGAGCCGCACCTGCTCGGAGCATCGGCGACGGGCTTACAGGCCCAGACCCCTCCGGCGCAAGAGCCACGAAGTAAACCCCAAATTGTTGGAAAGCGGATTAGGGGTTTGGGGTTTTGGGTTTAAGGGTTTAAGGGTTTAAGGGTTTAGGGTTTTGGGTTTTAGGGTTTTGGGTTTAAGGGTTTAAGGGTTTAAGGGTTTAGGGTTTTGGGTTTTGGGTTTTAGGGTTTTGGG